CTTTCTTTCTTTCTTTCTTTCTTTCTTCGCTCGATCGAAGAAACGATCGACGACGATCGTCCCGTTGAATCGTCTCGTCGTCTGTCTGTATTGATCGTTCTTCGTGTCGATGATGTTTGCAGACTTGAACGTGGAACACGCCCAACTGGTCTTGATCCTGTTTCACTCTCTCAATTTCATGCAAAAGAAGTCGGTGCTGCTTGTGACTGGCAGCGGCGCTGTACGTTGCAGCGAGGCGGTTAAAGCTCCGATGAAAGACTCTCAGTTGCTGCATCTGTCGCGACTGTTGTTGTTGCTCGAGTACATGATGAAACATCTTTACGACGCCCCGCCCGCGTTGCTCGAACAAGTGAGTGGTAAACGTATGTATGCGCGCGTGCACCTGTCTGTGCACGTCCGTCGACGATTCGTTGTGTTGTCAGCGTTTGAAGAGCATTCGACGTTTCGCGTCGATTCTTTCTCTTTTGTCTTTCTTTTTAGTTTCGCGTCGTAAACGGTATTTACACACGTGTTACGTGTTATTTTCGTTTCTACGTTTTTAACGCGTTTTCCAAAAATCTGCACGTTGTCGACGTTACGTTGAACGACGTGGATGCGTCGAGTGCGAGAGCAACGACGTGGTGACGCGCGAACCACGACGAGATACCAGGGCCACCAAATCGAAAGATACGTTTGCGTGGTAGTAAAGATCTTGTACATTTCACACCTTGTGCGATTAATTGTGTAAACTGCGTGCGTGATTTGCATACGCGCGATCGATGATGTGTTTCCATCGACAGGTTCGATGGAATTTGTTTTCTGCGACGAGTTTGGTTTGCGACGGCAAAGATGGCAACAAACAAACGGCTCGAATCTTTACGCCATGGACGGTGATCGAAGACGATTATCGCAAAATTGACAATCGAGACGAATTCTCGATGAAACCTCGGTTTTACAATCTCTCCACTACGGATTTCAACAATCAGGACACCCCCAAGTTGGACGGAGTGGTTGGTACATTGTCTTGCTCCTGTGCTCCTTCCTTTGTCCTTGATTTGTCCTTTGTCGATTGAACTTTTCGCGTGATCGTTCGATGTTGTACGTTGCAGGCTTGCAATTTCATTCTCGGTGCGCCGGATAAGATGAAGTATCCGCTCTTGGTCGATGCGTTGATAGACATTTTGAACGTTTTGAATCAAGCCGACGTGCAAAGGAGGATTGGCGCTGACAACGGCAAAGACAAAACGACGCCCACTTTCGTAGGATTGTGCGCGATTCGTTATTGTTTCTCCATATGTTGGCGGTAAGTGTACGGCGCCTGGTGTGGTGTACTCTGCTTTGTGCGCTACGTCGTGATCGATTTTCCAAGATCGAACGACACGTGCGTGACGCGACGTGATGATGCAAATTTTTTTCCAATCACGGTTACGAGATTTACGTTGTACAGATTGTTGCTGATGTTACCACCGTCCACTCTGTACATGGATAAATTGGCCCTTGGCGAGGAAATCCCTGCTGGGCCGATGTTGCTGTACTCGTTGATCTGGGGGCCGAGAGCCGCGTGCAAAACTTTCACCAGTTGGATGAACGTAATGGATAATGCTTTGCTTTCGATCCGTCGGCCGACGACGATTAACGTCCATTGATAAATTCATTCACGGTCGTCGTTCTTTCTACTCTGTGCAGGACTGTTTGATCAGGCAAGGGATGTACGCGCAGTATGCGAGAAATCTTTTGAAAACCGTCTCGTCTACCGTCAACTCTCTCAAATACGACGTCACAGTTGCGAAGAACTGCATCACGGCGTTGAAACCGGAGACCGATTACTTTGACGACAAAGTAATACCGAGTAGGAACGCGCTGCCCAAGCTCGGTTCGTTGTGCATTTTGGCTGCAGTCGTTGCAAAATTACAGATTCTTTTCTACGAAAATCTGTCCAAGAGTCAGAGCGAAACTATCGAGAGTTCCAAGTGAGTTGATCGACAGATTCGTCGTAACGTCGTAACGTCGTAACGTCGTAAATTGCTCCCTGCTCCCGATACTTCCGCTGTAATAAACGTAAACTTACTTTTTGTTCGTTCTTTTGGTACGCAGGAGCGGCCAAAGCGCGGAATCCGGAACTACGAGCGCCAACAAAATGATGATCAATATCCTGCCGCACGTCCTTTCGTTGACCGAATCGATCTTATTCTCGTATCGGTCGAGCGTGTTGCGCGAGATGCTCGAATCTTTCGAGTTGGATGGTAAATACGGTTCCAGGGACTATCGCGTACTCGACGATATCGTCGCAATGGCAGGTGCGAATTGGGCGACCGAAGCGTCGTTGATCTCGTTTCTACCGAATTCTGTGAAATCTGTCATAGACAAGTGGAAGAGCGTCAACGTTGTTCACATTCCCTGGGTGAGTGTCCAACGTCGTCGCGTTCGTTCGCGATCGACGTGTTCTCTCGGTCAGTGAAAAGGCCGTTGATCCATGATGTGTACGATCCATGATGTCTCATGTTCGTCCATGCGTATTTTTCATATAACGCAATTTTTTTCGTTCCATGGCCGTTTTTGATCCGCAGAACACTTACACGAACGACGTTATACCGGCGGAGAGTTACATCCTGGCCACCGTGTGTCAGCATATCAGTTCGCTCTCCGAATACCCAACGTTCTCCGTCAATCCGTCGTTGAAGAAATTGTTGCACAATTTAGTTACGTTCATAGTGGAGTATGTCGCGTGAGTCACGATCCGATTCTCTTATTTTTATTCCGCTCTTCTTTCGCTTTCGCGGACCCACGAACGGCTCGTGTGTGTGTGTGTGTGTGTCGGCGAAAGCGAAAGAGCCAACGAAGAAAGAGAAGAGACATCTCTGACGAGAGATTTCTCAGACTTCTGTTTGTTTCGCAGTCCTACGACGGCGCCGGAAAACACGGACGTTCACGATCAAGCGCTGGATATTCTCGTTGCCTTGTCGATGGACGCTCGCACGGATTATCTTCGAGATATGACTGACAAGGCTCTGACGAAACTGCTAGGTGACACCGACAGCGAAGCACGTCAGCTGCGAGAACATTTGTTCGTGTTGCGTCGCACCTACAATTTGATAATTGAGTATACGAGCGACGTCCAAGAACCTGTCAGGTACGCGTAACCTGTCGATCGATGTCGTGTGTTGTTGCACGCGCGTTGTTCTACCCACGATTATTTAACTCGATTTTTTCGAATGATTGAACAGCGTTACCGTCGACGAAAAAATCTTGAAACGATCGATCAAATATTGGGAACAACTGTTGGAGAAACCAGTCGGATGCAAGGCGTTGGATCTGTTTTTCGCACCGAGCGCCAATCGATCTCTCGTTTCTATACTGTTGTGCGTAACGTCTTCGCGATCGTCGCAACAATTTGCCACCCATGTGTTGAGATTTTTCAACGTGTTGTTCAAAACCGGTAACGTTCTCTCATTTTTCTTCTTCTTCTTCTTCTTCTTCTTCTTCTTCTTCTTCGTTTACGAGGCTAACTCGTAAACTCGGCTAACGATTATTTCCAATTCGTCTCTGTCGTCGTTCGATGCAGCCGAGAAAGGAAGCGACGGGTCGTTGGAGCGTCTTTGCGGATCCGTGTCGAATTTAGCTCACGTGGAGCCGGAAAAGTTGCAAGTGTGGCTGA